AGCCCCATAGAAACCAGGCTCAATAACATTCCGGCAGAGCCAAGTTTAAGACAGGCCGAGCCGGCATTCAGAAAACTCTTCACACCGAGCTAAACGCGCTCCTCTAAAGCTCGGGCTAGCAGATGATCATCTTGGCCAAATTAGCTCGGTCCAAACACGGGACTTGGACCTCGGATCTAGGCCTCGACCGAGCAAGACCAACTCTAGGGAAGCCCAAGTTAGCTCGGCCTAAATAAGGGCTCGAGCCTCAACCAGGCAAAACCCACTCTGGATAGGCCCAAATTAGCTCGGCCCAGCATGGTCGGTCCTAATCTATCCAGCTTCTACCACGGCCCAAAGCCAGATTATAAATCTCCCTCTCACCATTCGATTCGTGATGTGTTAGATTCGAAATTGTTGCAACTCAAAAAGGTTCACACAGATGATAATATTTTGGATATGTTGACAAAGACTTTGTCGAGGGACAAACATTTGAAGTGTCGAACTTTGGTGGGTATGGTTGATGTCTCCACCTAAGTTGATAGGGGGAGAATATAAGGGTCCTTAGCACCAAGCAGGAGCCCTATTAAGGTTTGAAGGCTTGTCGGTGAAGACTCTTTTGATGATGGCTTCGCAATTGACACCTTGTTCATAAAGAGATGTCGAAGGTTCTTTGCCTTCCAAATGGAACCCAGCAAAGTGGTTATATTAGTATACTTCAAATCTAAAGTCTCCAAGCATGGTAGATCCCCAATTGATTCCGAACATGATTCTAGACCGGTCCATCGCAAGCCTATGTATCTTAGGTGCTGTAAGTATTGGCTGAGTTTCTCGGGTAGCAAAGGTTTGTAGACACCCTCTAGATCAAGCACTTTCATCAGGACAATACCTCTAGATCTCCTCTTACTATTCTTGTGTTAAGCAATGTACTGACTTCTCTGTTAGATGTACCTTGTTTTTGGGCTTCGAGTGAAACATACGAACATAGATGTTGAGTATGAGACTCCAAAGTAGACTTCACCCCAACATAATGATCTATATGCCTCCGAATAATCTGATTAGACTCATGTACATGTGAATTGCAATGGCGGATTTGAAGAAATCCTATATCCTCGGCTTTTGGCAAGAAGACATTGTAAAGAAAGCTCGGCATTCGACATGTTTTGGGGCTTCCATCTTCTTTCCATGTTGCTATTTCAATCATGTTTCTCGACACTAGTTCTTCCAAATATGCCTTGGCCAGATCTTCAGGTTCAAGGACACTAGCCGCGGTAGTAGTTGATATTTGAATAAATCCCTCGACAATCCACAACTGCAACAACCTCCGCGTAGGAATCTCATTCGCTTTAGGGAAGAGAGTCAAATAAAGGAAACACGACTTTAACACATATGGTAGCTCATGACAGCTTAAAGCTACGATAGTCAAGAGATCGACTGATTGATCATCATCCCCCAAGTACTGTGAAAGATGATCAATTACACCGGACCACTCATCATTCAGTTGTGTACTCGACAACAATCCTCCAAGCAAGACAATTGCCGGAGGCAAACCGCGACATATTCTCCCAATTTACCACCTTCTTCAGGATCAATTCCCAACTCTTCTCATCAGATAATCGCATGAGTTTCAATGGGTGACCCCACCAGTCAACCTCGGATGTAACCTTAGAGTCGCAAGTAGTGAGGATGACTCTACTTCCATTCGCAGCGTCAGCAAAGGGACGTGCTAACATGAGCTAGACATGATTGGTGCAGATACCATCCAATACTGTTAGAAACTTGAGCTCCATTAAATTTTGGAAAAGCAAAGCCGACAGTTGGTGCTTGCTCATAAGCTCCACGTCAGCCAATACGCTACATATTGGAATCTGTTTGATTATTGCAAGCAACAGATCCTTGTATGTGAAATCTTTGGCGACGTGGAGCCAAGCACGGCTCTAGAAATGCTGCCGAATGTCTACTCTGTTGTAGACATTCCTTGCCAGTGCGGTCTTTCCAAGCGCTTCTTCGCTCGCCAGAGAAATCACACGGAGGCTTTTCTCCTCCTCGTTGTCGGTCAATTGAGCTATTAACTCCTTCTCGACATCTCCACGTCCAACAAGTACATCGTGCTGCATTTTTTCGTGCGTTGTGAATGTTTGATTAAATTTCTTATGATCGAGGATATTGTATTTGTCTGTTTGTGTTGTCGGTCGATGTTGATGTGGAAATAATTGAGTGGATACATCTCTGAAGCTCCGTACAATTTTATTCATTTTGTAGGTGAACTGGATTTGGATCCATGGTCTCCTTTGTTGGGTGTTGAGGAGGAAAGATTCGATGATATATTCTGCAGAGTAAAGAGTGCGAAGAAGCCGAGGCCAAAGACGAAGCCGAGACTCATCGAAGCCAGTGGTATTGTTGTTTCCGGCATGGAGGAAGATCAAAATTTGTTTGAGTTCTTTCAAGGCAACATCCACACGATTTGCTAGTCCTGGAAAGATAAATCTTCCTTCGGCAAGAACTACAAGAACAGATTGTAATTTCTGAAATAAAATTGAAATGGGCACATCATCGGCCATGGTCTCTCTCTCTCTCTCTTCTTGCTTGCTTAGTTTCTTACGGATTCACAGCTAGGCAACTGTGAATCATTCACTGCAGGAAATTTAACTTTTAGTGGCGTTTAAAAAATGCCGCTAAAAGTGTCAAAAACGCCGCCAATACTTTTTGTGACGCTTAGCACCAAACGCTGAGGACGCGACTGTCGCTATAGCTTTATGACGTTTTAAAAACGTCGTGATATTAGTATAGGTAGCGTTTTTAAAAACGCCGCCAAATGTCCTCCTAAACACAGGCTAACGTCACTGACGATATTTAGCGACGTCTTGGAAAAACGCCGTCATATCTTTTTTTAAAATAGTTAGTATGTAGGGTATAAGAGGCGTTTGTAGAAACGCTGTCATATCCCTTTTTAAAAAAAAAAAACAATTGTGCTTAATTTTATTTGATTGAACTAAAAAAATACCTGTAATAGCACTAATATAAAATAATAACTCCCATTCAAATTAGCTGTAATGAAGCATTAATTCACTTTCTCATTCAATTAATATCCAATCACCATTACCCACAAAATTAACATATCCAAAATCCAAAAATCATGTTTTAACATTAACCACAAACTAACATATATCCAAAAATCATGACTTAACATTAACCACAAACTAACATATATGCAAAAATCATGTCTTAGCATTAAAGTTGTAGTCTTCACTGGTCTACATGCCTGTATCAGAACATAAACTGCAGTCAGATTCACCAAAATAAACACAAATTGAAGAATTTGTACCCAGTACTAATAAACAGTACTTAAAACTTGAAGAAGCACTAACAAGAATATTTTATCACATACCAAGAAGCACTAAATACATATAAAGAAAAAATAAAAATAAAAATGCTATTGATTTGTATCTCTCCCAAATAAAATAAATAAGTTGATTTGTAGCATGTTGTACCAATGTATGTCAAATTAGGCAAGACTTCTGAAGGGTCTTTAACATATTTTTTCTTTTAGAATGTGAATAACCTTATCAAATTGAGATTTGCCATCACATACAAATTCAAATTTGAATCCAACCAAAAATCTGGGCCAATGTTGAACAGGTCTATGATGAACAAATCTAGACCTTTAATTGACAACAAACCAAGCTCAATTTATGGAAAAGCCTCTGATAGATAATAGAAGATACGAACAATTTGTTCCTGCAACATGTTAAATGATCAGACTATTATTGAACTGGCCCAGGGTATTGATTTGATAGGTTAGGCCGATGCTAATTCCATTGCTTGAAAATAAAGCAGATTCACATACATAGATAACATTCAATTCAAGAATGTTCAAGTTTTACATGCCTTTGTTTCTTCTAATCAAATCACAAAAGCTTCAGTGTTGCCACAACAATATTCAAATAAAAATCATCATCAAGTTACAACATTTTGTGGTCCCACAAATTGGGCATCAGATGAATACTGATGCAACATGTCTATGGCATATACTATCCTCACCTAAGTCAAGAAATTACAATAATTTTAATAGAAAATTAAAATTACCATTGAAATATTACCTTCTCTGTATTCTTCTTATTATTGCTAACCACAAGCTATGCATCTATATACATATGAAATTAATAAATGCATACCCTTACATAACCCACCAAAAAATATAATGTCCTTTTAAGGTTCTATCTTGAGTTTGTTTGAACGATAAACATGAAGTTCAAATAGAAGCGAATGCAATTTGGTTCCATCCAGTTTCATCAATGTCAACAAGTGCAAAACCATTTATAACAAGAGATTATTATTCATAAAACCCCACTTTTTAAAAACAAATGGCAACACAAATAGTATGACCAACGACCATAAACATTCTTCAATATGAATTGAAAAACTCTGAGAAATAAACCAAATGGGAAAGACTTTTGGTAATTAATTTGTACCTTCAGAGAGACAACCCCATTGGCCAACCTTTGAAGACAACACAGAATTGAGCAAGGAAGAAGCAGTAGCAGAGTGAAGAGGCATCAATGACTCTCCACAACCCAACTCCACTGCCAACCTACTACATTGACCATTGAAAACCCCAAATCTACGACCAGTTACATAATTAACAAAAACCCTTTTCAAAAAACAACCACCCCATTCACATATACAAATGTGTACCTAGTGGAGAAGAAGGAATGGTGGCGGCGAGAGATGTGAGAGGGAGGAGCAGAATTTGAGGAGGGTGCGAGTCCACCGAGGTTAGATGGCGATTGGGTTCGACTTTTACGACTTAGGAAGGCTTTAGCGGATGATGTTGACCTCTAAAATAGCCTTCTTGCAGAGTCGGTCGCCATTTTTGTCCCTTGCTCAACTCTCCTCCCCTCTGATGTTAGTACTCTATCCCCAACATAAAGAATTATTCTAGTTTTTCTAGTGCAATAAACATCATGTACTAGTATTATTTGTTATTGAGTTACTTAACCTTCTACCTGCACCAGAGACAGCCTACCAAGAATGCTACAACACTTCTCAATATACATGCAGAATTGATTTGTAAAAGATATTACAAACTAAGAATGCTACAGAGTCTAATCATATTTTCTGAAACTGAAGATATTGTATACTTATAGTTTTATATGTTAATGTAGTGAACTAGTAATTAACAATATATAGCACATTTTTCTTGTAGTTTCTCTTGGAGTTGATAATTTGAACTCCACTAAAATCATAGACTGGATACAAATTGTTTAATGCCAAACCACCAACGTCACTCACAAAGGCATCTTCCTCCAGCACATCTTGGCCAACCAGTTGCATGTCAGAAAATTTTTGTTCACTAAAAACATTTTCTCCAACGTTGGAGCCATCTGTAGCATCAATTGAAAGATTATCCATCATGCCACCTACAACCTTCTCCTTTGCTACATATTTATCCTCTTATCCATCATGCCACCTACAACCTTCTCCTTTGCTACATATTTATCCTCCCCGAAAGACTTGTCCAAAGAAGCAGGACCATTGCCTATAAAACAGTGAAGTAAACACAATATAAAACATGAAACAATGTGAAAAGATGACTTTCTCATTTGTGGTGTATAAAGTTAACAAGCTCAGGAAATGGAATAACAACTCCAAAACCAGAAGTTTATACCTCTATCTTCATTGCAGTCAATAGAAACAAGAGAGGAAACCGTCAAACCATGATCATCAAACAGGTCGACTTGATCAACTTCAGTTGCCTCCCTTCCTTCTGCACCAGAGCTGAGGCCACCTTGGTGTACATGAGATTCACTATTTTGTTCTGCATTGTATATTCATAAAGTGAATTTTGTTTGCTGTTGCAGTCAATAGAAACGAGATAGGAAACTGTCAAACCATGATCATTAAACAGGTCGACTTGATCAACTTCAGTTGCCTCCCTTCCTTCTACACCAGAGCTGAGGCCACCTTGGTGTACATGAAATTCACTATTTTGTTCTGCATTGTATATTCATAAAGTGAATTTTGTTTGCTATTGCAGTCAATAGAAACGAGATAGGAAATTTTCAAACCATGATCATCAAACAGGTTGACTTGATCAACTTCAGTTGCCTCTCTTCCTTTTGGCACCAGAGCTGAGGCCACCTTGGTGTACATGAGATTCACCATTTAGTTCTACATTGTATATTCATAAAGTGAATTGTGTTTGTTGAAAATGCTAAACTCATACCAAAAAAAAAAAGAAAAAGAAAAGAATACAAGTCAATATCATTCTCCAATAAATATCATAAAATATTACGTGAATATTCACTGTGCACCTTGATATTTTGGAGCAAAATGGGCTGTGTGAGGAATTTTTGCTTCAGAGCATTGACAATCAATGCTAGCATCCACCACATGAGATTCTGCAATAAACTCATTTCCCACGAGTTCAAGCATTTTCTCAGTTGTGCCTCCCTCTGAAGCATTTCCACTGAAATTCAATCTTTCACTTTGTTTATCTTCTCCAACATAGCTTTCTTTGGAGGCAAACCCTTCAAAAGCAGTGCCATTCACTTTGGTAAATTCACCATATGCACTTTCATCAGGACCTTCACCAGTAACCTTCTCTTCATTGGCAGTTGGTGATGCATTTTCTTTATATGTCATTTTCTCATCTTCATTTTCTGTTAATCCAATAACTAACTGTGACTCCCTATGATTTAACTTTCCATTCTTCATGTTGCCAATAGTTGAGCCCTCCTGCATTCTTAAGTCATCCATTTCAGGTTCACAACTAGACGCTGCTTCTTCACCAGGATTTGTATTATTTTCTGGTGTAGCAAACAGAGTTTTGAGGTCATCTTCTGGACATCAGCAAATAAAACATAAAAAATTCCGTAATTAACAAACTTGCTGAGTGAGGTACCCCATATCATTGATCAATAAAGTTAGCATTTTGTGAGAATCTTGTACAGTAAATTATAGAATCAAAAGGAAAATAATTCATTTACCAACATGCTCTTCCTGTTGGACAGGTGAGAAGCCATCAGCTCCGAAAGTGGGTTCAGTAATAACCACATTACCAACCTTATCTTGGTCTTCAACTGGCTTCAGGTTGACTAAGGTTTTGTGATCAAAATCTCCACTTTGGATCTGGGATCAAGAAACCAAATCATAATCATCACCCTTGTGTATATTATCCTGGAGCAAATTCGGATTGCTAGCCAACACCAATACAATGTTTTCTGTCTCTGTAACAACAAAGGATTCTTTGGCAGGAACATGTCATTCTAGCTCTACAGAATCACTCTGCAACTTCACAGAATTGGACGATGGAGTGCCTTCTACCATCATCAGAGCTTTGATCTCATCAATGTCTGTATTTTGCGTGCAAACCTCCATTAAACGATGCTGCTGCTTCTAACAAGAATTGCTGCTAGATTCATATCTTCTTATGTAAGTATCTTCAGAAACTTTCTCAATGCTGCTCAAAGCTGTATTGCCGGCACTGTCTGCAACTTCTCTCTCAGACGATCTAGAATCTGTAGTGGGTCTGATTCTTTCTATCTCAGAGAGATCAACAATGTTAATTTGCCCAGCTTCCACATATACATTTTCAGAGGTTTTCATTGAACTACTGCATTCATTAGATTCAGCTAAATAGTCCTCAACAACCAACTCCAGGTTCCTTAATTCACCAGGGCTGTCACCATCTTCAAACTCTAGTAAGTTCTGCCCTGCAAAAACAGAAGCTTTGTCATCATCAACTCCATTATGGGCCACAACGCAACTTGAGTCTATGTATTTGCCTGTTGTGGTGGGGTCTTCATCTATTTCCCTTTCCTTCGCTAGATCCAAGTTCTCAGAATGTTTAGCTGCAAAGTGTGAAATACACTGTTAGAAACTGCATAAATAGAGAACAAAACAACTCAGTGAAAGGCAAATAAACACCTCACCCATGTAATCAATTCGCTCAACCAGTGAGTAGCAATCATCTCCTGATGTGGCTTGAGGGACACCTGCATCCATAGACACTTTCAAGTCTTCCTCAAGCTCAAAACAAATTATTGGACTCAAATTCTGTACTTCTTTTGCTAGAGTGTAGTGCTAAATCATCCTCATTGACTCTACTAATATCATCTTGAAGGGGATTCTCTTTGTCAACCTCAGATTAACAGAAAACAAAGTTTGGGAAGTGGGTTTTTTTGTAAGTTTTTTTAGTTGTACGATATTATTGGAGAAATTTTTTTTTGTGTTTGGGAAGATAGTTGGGTTTTTTTTATTTTTTATTTTTTTCATATTCTTTTTTGTAGTGGGAGACAATGACTTTGATGCCTATAAAAAGCAGTGACTTTAGAAGAAATAAGAAGCATTTCAGTCAGTATATTTGAAAAGGAAAATGAGCTGTAAAATAGGATTCTTAAAAAAAAAACTCATCCAAAATATAGTTAATGAAACCAAGTCAGGCTACAAAAGACCTATCAGAGTTATAGTTGACGTTATAACTCCACACATCAAACAACAGCTAAGTTAGAAAGCTGATCAAGTCACATACACGACTACAATTTACTATTAAATGACCTTAAGCTACCATTGTAATTGGAGAAACAAATAAATTATAACTAAACCCCATACTAGAGCACATTGCCAGATTTTCATTATAAGAAACAAATCCAATTTAAGCAATCCTAATCTATAGATTCCACCAAGATTTTTGCACAAAATGTTACAAACTTTACAGCTTTATTCCAAATCTAATCCACACCATAGATTCAACTTTGGATTAACAAAACAGGACATAAACAAAGATTCTCGTATAAACTAATCTAGAAGTAGAATTAGATACTCACGCAAAGGGAGAGGGCTCAACAAAGAGAGCAATTCAGCGAGGCCTGGAAATAACTTCTGAGCAAATATTATCAACTTCTTTCTGGAATACTAAACATTTATATTGTTAAGAATAATATTGTAACACTGAACATCTATACTGTTAGATTTCCAATCAATCATATCTTCATGGGAAAAAAAAATGCTAAGCACGTAGAGGTGATAAATAAGGAGTTTGAGGAAATAAAAACTTTACATATCAGAAGGCTAGAAAAAATGTAACTAAGATTTCAAGTAAGCTAAACAATGACATAGTGGGGCAAAAAAAAATGAAGAAACCAAACATTTATATGTATATATACACACACACACATACACACAACACAAATACGCAATAGATCTCAATAACCAAATCGAAAGAAACAGGAATGAAGAGCTTGAGAGAGAGAGAGAGAGAGAGAGAGAGAGAAATCAATACTTTGCGGTGAAGCTTAGAAATCGAGAGAGAGTACTTCAAATCGAAATCGCTCTGAGACCAATCTGAGAAATCAAGCACAGCCTCTCCTGAGATCACTTCCTCTGTGATCAAAACCAACCCCTCTTCTCTCTTCGCAATCTCCCAGAACTTGAGATCGATATCGCTGAGAACAAAGGATGAATCGAGAGAGAGAGAGACAGTGGAGCTTCAAAGCTTCAAATCGAAATCGCTCTGACGAAATCGCTCTCAAGGGTTTAGAAGCAATTGGGGGTGAGCAAGAGAGAGGCGTGAGGAATCAAAATAGGGTTTACAAAGCTTTAACAAGTATTCTTAGAAATAGGCACGTGAGGTAGAACATATTTGGAGGCGTTTAAAACGCCTCATGCTCCAAAACGGTACCATTTTATTACCGGAATATGCGACGTATTTATAAAACGTCGTTAAATATTAATAAACGTGGCGTTTAAAAAAACGCCGTTAAAAAAAAAGCCGCTTAAACCCATTTTTCTTGTAGTGATTGGACGAGGACTTCTTTATTCTTTCTTTCTTCTTCTTTTTTTTTTTTATATGCTTTATGCTTTATGCTTTATGTTTTTTAATTATTTATAATTTTTTTTAGTGACATGGTGTTCCATGATTTATTTATTTATTTATTTTACATGATATGATAAAAAATTAAAATTTGATATATAACTTACAATGTCACTAGGAAAAAATTGTTGAACTTAAATTGTAATCTCAATATTTTTTCCAATCACTGATCAGTGAATTTATCAATCACATCGTCAAAAACTATGTAGAGCATTGTACTGTTAGTTATCAACAAAAATATCTTTAATTATGAATTTAGTGGTGTTTAGTTATAATGGAAAATTGCCACCCAATGGTATTCCCACAAAATTATTATAAGTTGATGGAAAATTTTAAGAATTTAGTTATTAATATTTATAATTTTTTTTATTGATCTGTAATTATTTTTTAAATATACACTGAGATTTCGTTTGGGAATAGACTATTTTAGTAATGTTTTGACTTTTTACGAAAAGATGTACAGAAAAATAAAAAAAGTGATGTGACAACTTATAATGACCTTTTGGCTACATAGTTCCCAAACAAGACTTGAATTTAAATTTTCTCTAGTTATAACATGTTGGTTGTAACTTAATTGTTATCCATAGTGTTTGTTGTGACTTAATTATAATATATTGTGGTTATTATTTTAATTACGATTGGAAAATCATATTTATGTCTCAAATCGTGTGGTTATGATTATTGTTCCTTTGAATGATTGAGAGCAGTTTAATTATAACGCGAAGTAATATCAATATCATAAAATGTCATAACTTACCTCTGATATACGGATTTGTATTGTAGAATCTCCCATATATTACAAATCGAGAAAATTACCAATTACTTAGAAAACTAAATCAATAGATCACATTCATTTTGGATGTGAGCCATATTATATTAAATTTTTTTTATACAATATATTTTACTTTTTGGATGATTTTTAGTCTACAAATTCTTGGTATATAGCATTTTTCAATTTTTATACTTAAAATTTATAACGGTTCTGGTTTAGACCCAATCTATTTCTTACTTTTGAATATGAGAATCCATGTCCTTAACTGTTGTTCATCTCATTTTCATCTTGTTATTAGTTGAGTTAGGTTGTTTGGGAGTTGTGATTGCGTTTGAAACAGGTTGAGAAATTAGTTTTTCAAAGAGTTTTTGCCCAGATTTTTTGCCTGTTTGGTCAAGCGGTCTTTCTTGCACTCGAGCGATTTTTTACAGTTTGCAAAACTACTGAAAGTGTGGTATCCTCGCTTGAGTGGTATTTCTTACGCTCGAACAGTTTTTTGCAGGTCTGAACTTCTAGGAGGGGGTCATTGTGTGCGGTGTCACTTATTGTGTCTTGCGCTCTGTCACGACTCAAAACCACCCCTATGGATTAGGATCATAACCGGCCAGTAATCACTTGATTACTTACGACCTCAAACAATAATACAGAATAAATACAATAATGGGGCCATAAGTGGAAGCATATCACATACAAAGAAGTCCATTGAATTGTGCCAACATGATCAAAATATATATAAATTGCTTAGATTATTGTGCATCACACATATTTACATGTCTATGCAAAACTTTATGTATCAAAGAAGTTCCTTGTACATATAGTTTACATGAGCCAAGACCATCATAGCAAAGCTAACACAAAAATCATATCAAAAGTGAGTCAAAAGACAAAAGACAAAGGCTCAATCTTGGAGACTTGACCAATCAATTCACAAAATAACTCCTAGAACAAACCCTACGGTTGGTCTCCATGCTGCTGGTCACCTACATATACGTACATATATACGGAGTAAGCAAAACTCAATGAGTAATAATAAAGTAAAGAGATTTGAATGAATAAGCATAAGCTTTACAAGACTATGGTAATTGAAGCAGATCTTTCCAAGATATAGCTTTCACACAATATCCGTATTCACATTACGGAAAGGCCTCGACCCCAACATCATACAGAACGGCCTCAGGCCCATCATATAAGCAGAACAGCCTCATGCCCATTAAATAGAACGGCCTCAAGCCCATCACAATATCAGAATGGCCTCAGGCCCATTACATTATCAGCTGATCAGAACGACCTTAGGTCCAAACAAATCATATCAAAACAAAATGGCCTCCAGCCCAAACGTATCATAGTACAACAGAAACGACCTTGGGTCCACATTGCATATATCATATCACATTCATGAAACTCATTCATTTTGAACAAAACACAAGTTATAGATGGCATATCTATTAAGGAGGAGAATAAGTACTTTAAAACATATATTTACAACACTATTACTCACAGTGACATTGGCCTTGCGATGGTCCTTCCGACAGGCGACTTACACATTATAACACAGATACAAATTCGGTAAACAATTCATTCATTCTTAGTCTTTTCCTTTATTTACTCGTTTACGATTCGTTTATTTTTCTGTTTATCTTTAAACATTCTAGAGGGCCTAAACATGCTTGCACACAATTTCAGTGGGTCGGATACGTTAGCAGAGATTGACGATTTTTCACCCTGTTTTCCGCACGTGCGGAAATCCTTTACCACACGTGCATTTATTTCAGAAGTGATACTATGATTTGCCTTGTTTTCCTCATGCACAGCTGTGAGCCCCACACATGCAGTTCTGGGCTTTTCTAGGCAGTCCAAAAATTGTCTCAACCTTAAGCTTTTAAACTCATATTCAAGCCCCAATTCATACAAATCCATTTCAAAAAAATGACATATATACATGATTAAAGTGTATTTCAAACTCAATTGAATCAGATCTTACTTAAATTCCAAAATCAAACCCCTAGCTTTCACAAATTGATGAATTTCTTCATTTTCATTCAAATTCACTTACATTTTCATTAAGTATATAATTCTTGAGTTAAAATATTGCAAAGGCTAAAGATTAGGGTTCAAGTTTTCACAAGTAACCTCAAAACAAGCAATGATGAAGATATACACTCTTAAATCAAACAAATCCAAAGGATTCAAGGTCCATTCCATAACTATAATTCAATTAAGCTCTTAATTCCAAAACCCTAACTCTTTTAGGTGTGAAATGTCCATTTCAAGACTTGATTTTAAACAAGCGAAAAGATATTTGAAGAGTTTGAGCTAATTCCTTGAATTTTCCCTTTAAATCCCCAAGCTTCCAAGCCTTGAGCTGATCTTCTCTATTTTCTTCTTGCTCTCACTCTCTAGAACTCTAAACAAGATATTTTTGAGTCTAACTCTAAGTTCTCTAAGGCTTCATCTATACCTATCTTAAGTTAAGTTAAAAGCATAGATTAATTAGTCATAATTCAACTCCTTAGCTTAATTAAATGTATTTAATTCATTACAAATCAAATTTTTACAAAACTTCATATTAGGCCTTAAAAATCATGCTGATCACAAATATCAAGTTAGTTTTGGTTTCTGACATCTCTAAGACCTTCAATTTTCAGCTTAAAGCTCTAATTTCAATAGATTTTCCTACACTTAAATGATAAAAATTCAAAATCATACCATTCACACAACTAAGCATGCAATTTTATATCAAACACATAATCACATGGATAATTAGAGAATGAAAGCATATTATGGAATTAGGTTATCACATGCTCGAGCGGTGTTTTGGTCGCTCGCGCGGTTTGTGTGTATATCAGTCTGAAGGGCAGGCATTTTGGGTCATTTTTTTTACTTTTCTGTCTCTGAAAACCCTAAATCTTCTCTCTCTCTCTCTCTCTCTCTCTCTCTCTCTCTCTCTTTCTAGTTCTTACATTCTAGTTCTAAATACTCTCAACCCTTTGATTTCTTCACCCTAGCCTTTTTGAGAAAATGGTAGAGCAGGTTGAGAGCTTCGTTTTAATCGAAGGAGTTGTTGTTTTTAGCTCTGTCAAGTTTTTACCTTTGCTCTCTCTGGTCTTCTACTTTGAGCAAGGAATTTCTTCAACCCTTAAGCTATGTTTGGTTTTGGCTTTTTGGCTAAAAAAACA